TTTTTTAAAACGTTATCAATGCACACATATGTAGACATATAAATATTTATACAGAAACTTACCGCCTAGTCAGTGAATAGAAATAGGAATAGAAATGAAGTGCTCTGGGAATCCACCCTGTGTGACTGTACTTTCAAATCAAGAGAGCACGATGTTTCAGTTCCTGTTTCTATCCCTGGGTTTAATGTCAATACCTCTGCAGTCTCCCTCAGTTTACAGAAAAGAAAAGATGAGAAGCCTTGGAAGGTAAAGTGACCTGTCTGAGCACACATTGCTAACTAAGATAACTCTACCACACAGTCCACTTGACACTCAAGCCAGTCTTACCTCTATGCTATCAGAAGTATTGATTAAATCAATCATATAAGAGAAGGTACAAAAGTTATCATGCTAGTTACAGTCAGAACTGTGAAATTATTTACATTTCCTTATCCACAAAATTGAGGCAGACAAACACATGATTGGAATCCATTCAGGAGAAGTTAAGGTCTTTGGGTAAAGTTGCACTTTACATTTGCCTCTCAAGGCCACCATACCAAACTTGTCGACAAAAAAAGTCTTAGTAAGTAACAATATTAACGGCCAATAGGTGCAGAAATATATAAACCTACGAAGCAAGGGGAATTCTGCAGAGATATGATTGTTAGGTACCCTCAATTTCATTCAGACTCATAGCTAACCTATGCACAAAGGAATGAGACACTAGCTGGTCGTGTGCCTTCCTCACAATTGTTATATGAGTCCATCATTTTTGACACTGTCAATCCATTTCATTTGGGGTCTTACTCGTTTTTTCTGAACCTCCATTTTACTAAGCATGACATCCTTCTTCAGAGTCTGGTCCCTCCTGATAACTTGTCTCAAATACAAAGTCGCACCATCCTGGCTTCTAAGAAGCATTCTGATTGCACTTCTTCCCACACAGATTTGTTTGTTCTGGCAGTTCATGGCACTTTTAATATTAGTCTCTAACACAATAATTCAAATGCATCAATTCTTTTCAGTGTTCCTTACTCATTGTCCAAGAAATACAAGAGGTGGGTTTGATGGCAGAGTAAGCAGAAAGGCAGTACAGACTCTCTTCAGAAAAAACACAGAAAACCAGAAGAAACCAATTCAGAGGATGGTCCTGGAACTCTGAGTTTCAAATAAAGGAATAAGTAAGTGGATCGAGTGCTTACCAGGAAAAAGAATTTCAACAGAAGCAAGAAAGGATATGGCTCTGATTTGGGGTAGCCAACATGACCCATTGCAGCCATTTTGGATGAGAGTGAGTGGATTGAGAGACAAGAAAACCTACAGAAGCCTGCCTGTGACTTAGGGAGAAAAAAGGTGCAATTATTATTATTATTACTTCTTCTTTTCTTTTTCTCTTTCTTCTCATTTCATATCTAGTGACCAAAAGTGATACTTGAATGAGTAGACACCCCCAGGAAGATCCCACATGGATCCCACAGCTGGACACATACATAATCAAAGGAGAAGGAGGCAACAGACAGAGCTGGCAGTCTCTTCCAAATTGAGCCTGGCCAGCCCTAGACTGGGTCTCACTAGGAGAAACAGCTGAATGGACTTGAGCTGAGTGGAAGGAAAACAGGGGAAAGAGAAAGAAAAAAAGCTGGTGATAGAGCAGAGAGGCACAGTACGAAGGTTGTGAAATTTCACAGGAAGCTGTGAAGGCATGAGTCAATTAAGTGGTGCTAACGAATTATTCTTATTTTCCTGCTATTGTTTCCTGGCTGTTATTTTTTATCTTTTTCCAGTTTTATTGTCTTTATATTGTTTTGTTTTTTTTTCTGGGTTTTTACAATGCTTGTTTTTAGTTTTGTGTTTTGGGTCATTCTGCTATCTTGTGGGAGCATTTTTACTTTTTGCCTCACCCAACAGAAGACAACTTCAGCCATAGAAGCCAAGCCACAAATGTACCCTCTAAAACCCCACCAATTGGGCAAGAGACAATACCAGTTGCTATACACCAGAGCAGTGTCTATAACCAACAATGGCTAAAAACACAGACGCACACCCCCTGATCACACCTACCAGAATGTAACTGAAGAGTTCTTAAGAATACACCAACATACATTCATCAAATGAATACAAATGCAACAACACCACACTGCATAAAAAGCAGTAGAAAATTTCTGCTCACATGCAAAACAAGACAGAGTAGCTCAGATAGATGACCAAGAGGAAGAACTAGAAATTGCTTTTTAGGGAGAAAAGGCTTTGGAATTATCTGAAAAATAATTCAGGAGAATGATACTGAGGTACGTCCAAATGTTCCACACAAAGGTCAAGGAAAATAAGAAGTCAGAAGAGTGCTACACAAACAACCAAATAAAATAGATATAGCTTTGCAGACAACACAAAACCTGTAAACAGAGGTTCAGTTAGTCAATACTAAATTATCAGAAATAGATAATACATTCAAAAAGCAAAGGAGAAGAACTGAATCAATGGAAGCGAGAATTAGTGTGCTTGAAGATAAATCTCTCAATACTGCAAAGATAGAAGAACAATCAGAAATAAAATGAAAAAAAAATCTGAAGAAAGCCTAAAATATATGTGAGACAACATTGTTGTTATTGTTAACTGTGGTTAAGTCAGTTCCTACTTGTAGCGACCCTGTATAGGGTTTCCAAGGAGCAGCTTATGAGCTCGAATTTACAAGCTTGCAGCTCAAACCAACCTTACAGTCCAGCACATTAATACACATCAACACACCAGGATTCCATGAAGATGAATAAGCTATGGGTGATTGGAATTCCAGAACAGGAATAGACAAAGAAAGCCACAGAATAGATAGTTGAAGAGCTGCTGGAAGAAAATTTCCCTAACATCTTGAAAGACAAGAAGATAAGGATTTAAGAAGCAAAATTAATCCCAGGCAGGATGTTGTTTTTGTTGTTAAGTGCTGTCAAGTTAGTTCCAAATCATAGCGACCCTGTGTAGGGTTTTCATTGAGTAGCTGGTGGGTTTGAACTGCCGACTTTGTAATTTTCAGTCCAGTGATGATACTACTGTGCCATGTTATTGTTGTTGTTAGGTGCCATCAAGTCAGTACCGACTCATAGCAACCTTATGTACAGCAGAACAAAACACTGCCCAATCCTGGGCCAACCTCACTACTGTTGCCA